AATTTTCTCCAAGTATGGCCATACAAATGTAGAAGGGTATACAGATGCTGATTGGGCAGGTTCAGCCACAGATAGGCGTTCGACATCTGGGTATTTTATGTTTGTTGGTGGTAATCTTGTTACGTGGAGGAGCAAGAAACAAAAGGTGGTGTCTCGATCTAGTGCTGAGGCCGAGTATCGAGGAATGGCCCATGGTGTATCTGAGTTACTATGGCTGAGAAGATTGTTGAGAGACCTTGGTTTTGGGCCTAATAAACCCATGGATTTATATTGTTACAATACGGCTGCAATTGCAATTGCTCATAACCCTGTACAACATGACCGTACAAAGCATGTGGAGGTTGATCGAAATTTCATTAAGGAAAAGTTGGATGCGCAGATTGTGTCCTTCCCCTTCATTTCCCCTTCATCCGTTCTGAGTATCAGTTAGCCGATGTTCTTACGAAAGCTGTTTCTACAAGTATCTTTCTCAACTCGCTTGACAAGTTGGGCATGCGTGACGTCTTTGCTCCAACTTGAGGGGGAGTGTTAGCGAGATATCCCTATTCTATTAGGATATTATTTTATTTATTTCCTTTTGTATAGATATTATGTAATTAGGATACCACTTCTTTTCCTAGTTTAACCCTACTAAGGTTTACAACCTTGTATTATAAATAGCTCTTTTCAGAGAATGAAATATATCAGAAAATATTCTACCATATTATTTGACTTAACAGCCTTCCAATCCAAGCGGATTAGGTGAAGAGAATAATCCCAAAACTCAGGCACAATAGAGGCCCACAAAAAACCCCAAATCACAAGGAACTTTGGCTTTCCAAATCACAAGGAAAGGTGAGGGAAGAGAAATCGGGTGAATATTCAAAATCTGCTTATAAAAGGAGTTAATAGAAAGGCAAAAAGTCATTTTTGGTCCCTGTAGTTTGTCACTTTTACCACTTTGGTCCCTGTTGTTTCAATTTGGTGAATTTTGTCCCTATGGTTTCAATTTGAAGCATTTCAAGGACAATTTTCAATTTTTGTCAAATTTTTTTAACTTCTGTTAGTTGTGGAGAGGTAATTCGGTCAAACAAATTATTAAAAAATTTCATTCATTTTAAAAATAAATAAATAAAAAATCTCAAATTGAAAAAAACAAAAAACAAAAACAAACCAGCCAAACCCAACCCAACTCCCCGCGCACCAAAAATTTTAAAAATAAAAAAAGAGAATAGAACAAATATATCTTAAAGAATAAAATAACAAAAAATTCAAATAAGTTAAATAAAAAAAATTAACAAAACAAGAACAATCAAACCAAACCCAGAAAATGCCATCCCCATCTCATCTCCCCTAACCCCCATCCCAACCTCCCCCCATACCCACCACCTACCACATCCCCGCACTCATCCCCGACACGACGCACTCAGATCCACCCCTCGCTCCTCTCTGTCGCTTCACCAGATCTGACAAGCTAATGGAGGCGAGGCCGACCAGGTCGCAATCCAACCAACCCATCGATAGAGCTATGGGAGAAACTCGACCCACATCTGTCATGGCTCTGGCTCTAACGAGAAAGAGGAGGACGACGTCACCATGGGTGAGTGGAAGAGACGCTTGTGGGTTCCTCCCACCTTGGTCGAAAGAATTGGACACCCAAGAGGAGGCTCAAGAAGAAACTAGATAGAAGCTTGTTGATGGAGATGTTTTTAGGGCACCAATAAATTTTTTCTTGCTTTGTGTTTACGTTGGGACGGGGGTTCAAATCTTTGGAATGACACTCGTAACCATGATATTTGCATTGCTAGGCTTTTTGTCTCCTTCCAACCAAGGTCTCATGACTGCCATGGTTCTCTAGTGGGTTTTCATGGTTGTACAAAATGTTCAGGGGTAAAGAGTGGAAGAGGAATACCTTAAAGACTGCCTTTATGTTTCCAGGAATTCTATGTGGTGGGTATGGGGGTTAGGGAAGATGAGATGGGGATGGCGTTTGGTTTGGTTTGTTCTTGTTTGTACTTTTTAGAATTTTTATTTTTATTTTATTTTTAAGATATATTTGTTCTTGTTCTTGTTTTTTTGTTTTAAATTTTTGGTGCGTGGGGAGTTTGGTGGAACTGGGTTTGGCTGGTTTTATTATTATTTTTTAAAATTTTTATTTTTCAATTTGAGGTTGTTTATATATTTATTTGTCTTTAATTTTTATTTTTAAAATCAATGAATTTTTTTTAATAATTTGTTTGATTGAATTACCCCTCTATAACTAACAGAAGTTAAAAGAAATTGTGGATTGTCCTTAATTGCTTCAAATTGAAACCACAGGGATAAAATTGACCAAATTGAAACTATAGGGACCAAAGTGGTAAAAGTGGCAAACTACAGGGACCAAAAGTGACTTTTTGCCCAATAGAAAACACACTTGGGGACTCCGGAGTCCACATCTTACTATCTGATTTAAAAGGAGACAATGAAACCGATGCGATTCTAACCAAGAGAGAAGACAAATCAAATTAATATAAACAAAAACAAAACAAAAAACCAAAACAGAATGGAGACAGAGGGTTACCTTGAGAGTGCAGCCATGAGGAGATTTGGGAACAAATGGAATTTCTGCTTAGAAATGGAGCAAGATGAGTGAGGTCTTGCGATATTGGATGCTAGATGAGAGAGAACAAGAGGAATTAGGGTAGGATATTTGTTTTGGGGTCTGAATTGGAGTTGGAGATAGCCAGAGGGTTTCTAGAGAGTAGCGGGAGAATTAAATTTCCGTGAAAAAAAAGAGCGCCAGAGGATGAAAAATTTTGGGGTACATCTATGACGCACAATATGCGTCGTCGTATAAATATTTCATGACGTGTTGAAGATGTCGTTAAATTCTTTTTACACCTATGACGCATGTCTTGCGTTGTTGTATAAGTATTTCATGACGTGTAGAAGAGGTCGTTAATTTAAGAAAAATCTATGACGCACATCTTGCGTCGTCGTATAGAGTACATTGATGACGCAGGTCCTGCGTCGTCGTATAAGTACTTCATGACGTGTAGAAGCCGTCGTTAAATTCACCATGTTAACGACGTATGATATGCGTCATCCAAATGTACTCAAATCAATGACACACATCCCGTGTCATTGAAAATGATTTTAATGACGCGTCAAGAAAATGTCATGATAACGGTGTCATAAACTCACTTTAATGACGCATTTTAAAAACACGTCATAGTTTTTTACATTTAATGACGTGCATTTTCGATGCGTCATTAAATCTGCGTCGTAAAAAGACATTTTTCTTGTAGTGGGTATGGACATGAAAGAAGAATTTGATGCGAAATGAGATGAAATCATCACAAGCAATGGGCTAAAAGACCATCCGTGGCTGAGCTCGATTCATGCTTTGCGGGAGAATTGGATTCTATCATATGTAAAACATGTGTTTTCGGTTGGGATGTCAAGTAGTCAACGGGCTAAAAGCTGTCATGCATTTTTCAAACAATATATTAATCGGAAAAACACATTGATGGAATTCATTGTACGTTTTGACAGAGCTATTGGTTCACAGAGGCACAAGGAGTTAATGGCTGATCATGTTGATATCAATGAAAAACCTCCACTGCCATTTCGAACACCAATGCAACATCAAATGGCACGCATTTACACTCGAGAAATTCTTGAAATGTTTGAGAAGGAAGACTTCAGAAGCCTTTTATACTTGTTCGAACTTGTAGAGCAAGATGAGACCCAGTGCAGGAACAAAGTAAGTGAGCGGGTAAATCCGGGGGTGACACGGATGAAGGAGCTTGTGCATAATAAAGATGCCGATAAAGCTTATTGCAGCTGCAAAGAATTTGAATTTTGGGGTATTTCGTGCCGACACATCCTAGTATTTTTAAGAATGAAGCAGGTGGAGCACTTGCCAGACAATTACATATTGAAACGATGGCTTCAAAGTGCAAAGTGCGGTGTAGTATATGGTAAGAATGATAAAGAAGTTAAAGATTGCGTGGACGGTTTGGTTTTGGTTAAGAGATCGAAACTTTGCAAAGTTGCAGGTGATTTGATAGATTCTGCTTTGTTGTGTGATGAAGGTTTTGAGTTGTTGGAAAATTCCTTTGACGACATTCGTGGGAAGCTTACAAGGTTGTTGTCATCAAGAGCTCGTGTCGAAGAAAAACCCAATGGAGAGGTCAGAACTAGTTCTCCCCAAGTCAGAATGAAAGATCTCTATCGAGTAAAAGCAAAAAGGCGTGTGAGAAGAGTGAAAGGACAAAAAGAGAAGGCAGCGGAACGACATAAATGGCGGTGTAGTGAATGTAGGAAGACTGATCATGATAGATGGAGTTGTCCAAAACTTGGGAGCCCGTAAGTGAATATGTAATTTTTTGGGTTTGAATTTTATACAAGAAATGTTGTTCACTTGTTTATTTGTTTCGATGTTGCAGCTCTTCATCTTCTGACGAAGAAGTTGGTGCTGTAGTTGATGAGAATTTGCAGCCCAGTCGGAGCACACAGGACAAGGAACCTACTACGACAGAGTCATTTATGCAAGAGTTTGATTTCATTTACGGTCCTGGAGTTTGAATATTTGTTGATACCAATTTGCATTGTTTTGGAAACCATATGGAACCGTTAGTGAATCTTATGTAAGTGCCTCATGTTGATACTGAACTAAGGTTTGTGAACAACAACAGTGAAACCGCCCAAAAACAAAGTAACTTTTGTATTCGATAATACCATTATTAAGTGTCACACACATATCGCATGACTTACATTCGGACATAGAAAAATAAAATTAAAAAAACTACATTAAAGTGAACATTAAGTTATTTGAAGAGCCACTTAGTTATCAGCATCAGAGTCATCACTTGACTCAAAGTGGCCACGTTCCTCCCAATTTAGAATGCGTTTGTCATTGTAGCAATCCTGGCACCACTCTAAATTTGGGGGTTTACATATGCAAACAATGGGAGATGGGGGCTTTGGGGGAGAAGGGGTTGGAGACCGATAGTATTGAACATTGTCTAGACATATCGCGAATAGATCCCTGCACGTCCCACAAGGACGGTCGTGAACGGTACCATGCTTGCAATAATTATGCGTAACTCGAACTTTCGGATCCATCTTTGGTTGAAGGTGGATGTCCATCCTGGGGCTTTGGTGTTTTCAGAACGTGAAGCCTTGTTTGAAAGGATTCGTTTGGGATTCATGCAATGTGGGTTTTATACACCTTTGCAACGGTTGCAAGGAAAATGAAATATCTATGTAAGGGAATCTTGAAACCATCACTGTGTGTCAGTAAGAGAATCTTGAAACCATCACTATGTGTCAGTAATGTGTTAAAGAATCGAATATCTGTGTTAGAATCTTGAAAAAATTTATTGACCCACCGACAATGAATCAAACCAAAAGCTTGAGCAGTATTAGTAACTAAACTCTACTAATCCAGTAGTTAGTGATCAAAGAAATAAGATTGAACTCTGGTAAGAACATAGAACCCAAAGCTGTGACAGCAGATGTAAACCCGAATAAGCTGCACGTAAGCCAGATCGGGCATAAACATGTAAACACAAACCCAGATCGGGCATTAACAAAAAATAAACAAGTGAATAACGATTGCCTAGCGATTTATATGGCTACCAGCCGTCATTATCGTTGGCTTTTGCTGGTTGGTGGCCTACCTCTAGTGGGTGTACACCGCCGGAGATGATTTGTTGTGCAACAGACGGAGTTATGGCCTCCCAGTCAATATCTTTGTGGACATCTGCAGCGAACCGTCGGAATTGCTCAAAACCTTCGTTGAAAGCCACAAACATTGCATGGGCATGCTTGTCGCCTCCTTTGTGGATGCTCAAAGATTCGTACGTAGCATCCTTCTCCGTCATATGCAAATCCTCTGCTTTGTGCTTTCGTCTTTGGCCACGAATTATGTGCTTCTCTTTTCTGTAACGCGGTTTGTTCACTTGGCGCGTCAAATACGCCAACTTCTGCTCAGCTTCGACACACTTTTGAGCCCAATAATGGACCAAGGAGGAGTCGTGTTCCAGTTTGTTCTTCATATCATTTATTTCCACAGCAGGATCATCGAAGTCGCCCTCACTTGCCGAGGAGTTTGGATGTGGCAGCGATGGTAGAGGGGACCTTGGATAATCGGGGGCATATTCCCATGACCCATCGGAGTCCCCCTAATTAGCATTGCCGCGTGAACTGGCTGACATGTTGACAAATCTTCAGTTTCTTCAGATTGGGGGATTTGTTGTATGCACAAAACACAACTCCAAAGAAGAGTCAGGAAGAAAACAAGATGTGGATCAACGGCAATGAGTATCCCATAGCCATACGACAACGTTTATATATGATGTCCTGGAGTATTCTGTAGTTTGTTTTATCTGTTTTTCCCATCTGTCACATCAGTTTTGTTTTTTTGTTCAGTAATAAGAGTATTTGATTTAGTATGGTTGAATTCGAAATAAAGCCTCGTATCAATCACAGAAAGCATACACATGAATTTTGATTTCCTGCTCTTTCAATGAGGTGGTAGCATTTGTCGACATATTATCCCGATTTTTGCAAAGGAAGTGTGAGGCAATGGTCACTGACGTGCACGTGTGCACCTACCCAAGGTTAATGCGGTCAGGTCCCGCCATGTGTTGTATTTCGTTATTTTCATAATTTTTTATTGCAAAATTATTGAAAACATGGTAATAACAAGGAGAAAAATCAGAAAAATTGCCCCAAAATTGATTCCAGCTCCATGTGCCATTACACAACTGGGGGAAGCTATAAATCATTGAAAGTGCTTTTCAAACTCACTTTCGTACTCAATTTCATCAGATGTGACAATACAGAGTGTACATTTCATCTTCGGAATATGGTTTGAACTCGCTTTCCTTTCAACCGTAACATTATGTTTTGCAAACCTTTTCCGTCTATTTCCTTCATGTTCATTATCTAATTTAAAATAACACAACTATCGGTTACATTTGCTTCGTAT